CGAACAGGGATGGGTTAGGGGTATCAGTATATACATTGTATAGGTTACGGGGCCAGGCACTACAGAAGCGCAGAGATGGGTTAGGGGGATCAGTATATACATTGTAGGTTATGGGGCAGGCGCTACAGAAGCGCAGAGATGAGTTAGGGGTATCGGTATATACATTGTTGGGTATGGGGCCAGGCACTACAGAAGCGCAGAGATGGGTTAGGGGTATCAGTACATACATTGTTGGGTATGGGGCCAGGCACTACAGAAGCGCAGAGATGAGTTAGGGGTATCAGCATATACATTGTAGGGTATGGGGCAGGCACTACAGAAGCGCAGAGATGAGTTAGGGGAATCAGTATATACATTGTAGGTTATGGGGCAGGCGCTACAGAAGCGCAGAGATGAGTTAGGGGTATCGGTATATACATTGTAGGTTATGGGGCAGGCACTACAGAAGCGCAGAGATGGGGTAGGGGTATCAGTATATACATTGTATAGGTTACGGGGTCAGGTACTACAGAAGCGCAGAGATGGGTTAGGGGGATCAGTATATACATTGTAGGTTATGGGGCAGGCACTACAGAAGCGCAGATATGAGTTAGGGGTATCGGTATATACATTGTAGGTTATGGGGCAGGCGCTACAGAAGCGCAGAGATGAGTTAGGGGTATCAGCATATACATTGTAGGTTATGGGGCAGGCACTACAGAAGCGCAGAGATGAGTAAGGGATGTCAGTATATACATTGTAGGTTATAAAGCGGGGCACAACAGTAGCTGCCAGAGATGAGTAAGGGATGTCAGTTTATACATTGTAGGTTATCGGGCGGGGCACAACCGTAACTGCCACAGATGAGTAAGGGAGGGATGTTAGTATATATATTGTAGGTTATGGGGCGGGGCACAACAGTAGCTGCCCGAGATGAGGAAGGGATGTCAGTTTATACTTTGTAGGTTATCGGGCGCGGCACAACCGTAACTGCCACAGATGAGTAAGGGATGTCAGTTTATACATTGTAGGTTATGGGGCGGGGCACAACAGTAACTGCCACAGATGAGTAAGGGATGTCAGTATATACATTGTAGGTTATAGGGCGGGACACAAAAGTAACTGCCAGAGATGAGTAAGGGAGGGATGTTAGTATATATATTGTAGGTTATTGGGCGGGGCACATTAGTAGCGCAGAGATGAGTAAGGGATGTCAGTATATACATTGTAGGTTATGGGGCGGGGCACATCAGTAGCGCAGATATGGGTAAGGGATGTTAGTGTATACATTGTAGGTTATGGGGCGGGGCACAACAGTAACTGCCAGATATCAGTAAGGGATGTCAGTATATACATTGTAGGTTATGGGGCGGGGAACATCAGTAGCGCAGATATGGGTAAGGGATGTTAGTGTATACATTTTAGGTTATGGGGCGGGGCACAACAGTAACTGCCAGATATCAGTAAGGGATGTCAGTATATACATTGTAGGTTATGGGGCGGGGCGCAACAGTATCTGGCAGAGATGAGTAAGGGATGTCAGTATATACATTGTAGGTTATGGGGCGGGGCACATTAGTAGCGCAGAGATGAGTAAGGGATGTTAGTGTTTACATTGTAGGTTATGGGGCGGGGCACAACAGTAACTGCCAGAGATGAGTAAGGGATGTCAGGATATACATTGTAGGTATTGGGGCGGGGCACAACAGTAACTGCCAAGGATGAGTAAGGGATGTCAGGATATACATTGTGGTTATGGGCCGGGGCACAACAGTAGCTGCCAGAGATGAGTAAGGGATCTCATTGTATACATTGTAGGTCATAGGGCGGGGCACAACAGTAACTTCCAGAGATGAGTAAGGGATCTCAGTATATACACTGTAGGTCATAGGGCGGGGCACAACAGTAACTGCCACAGATGAGTAAGGGATGTCAGTATATATGTTGTAGGTTATAGGGCGGGGCACAACGGTTACTACCAGAGATGAGTAAGGGATGTCAGTGTATATATTGTAGGTTATGGGGCGGGGCACAACAGTAACTGCCAGAGATGAGTAAAGGATCTCAGTATATATGTTGTAGGTTATAGGGCGGGGCACAACGGTTACTACCAGAGATGAGTAAGGGATGTCAGTATATATATTGTAGGTTATAGGCGGGGCACAACAGTAACTACCAGAGAGGAGTAAGGGATGTCAGTATATATATTGTAGGTTATGGGGCGGGACACAACAGTAACTTCCAGAGACGAGTAAGGGATGTCAGGCCAGGCACTACAGACGCACAGAGATGAGTTAGGGGTATCAGTATATACATTGTAGGTTATAGGAGAGATGAGTTAGGGGTATCAGTATATACATTGTAGGTTATGGGGCAGGCACTACAGAAGCGCAGAGATGAGTTAGGGGTATCAGTATATACATTGTAGGTTATAGGGCGGGGCACAACAGTAGCTGCCAGAGACGAGTAAGGGATCTCAGTATATACATTGTAGGTTATAGGGCGGGACACAACAGTAACTGCCAGAGACGAGTAAGGGATGTCAGTATATACATTCTAGTTTACGGGGCGGGGCACAACAGTAGCTGCCAGAGACGAGGAAGGGATCTCAGTATATACATTGTAGGTTATAGGAGAGATGAGTTAGGGGTATCAGTATATACATTGTAGGTTATGGGGCAGGCACTACAGAAGCGCAGAGATGAGTAAGGGATGTCAGTATATACATTGTAGGTTATAGGGCGGGGCACAACAGTAGCTGCCAGAGATGAGTAAGGGATGTCAGTATATATATTGTAGGTTATGGATCTCAGTATATACATTGTTAGTTATGAGGCGGGGCACAACAGTAACTGCCAGAGATGAGTAAGGGATGTTAGTATATATATATTGTAGGTTATAGGGCGGGGCACAACAGTAGCTGCCAGAGATGAGTAAGGGATGTCAGTATATACATTGTATATGTTATGGGGCGGGGCACAACAATAGCGCAGAGATAAGTAAGGGATGTCAGTATATAGATCTGCCTCGACTTCCACCAATGTTTAATATACTTGTCCATAGCGATGTAGTACTTCAGTTATGATTGGAAAACTAATGATTTCCGTCAGAAAAAACACCTTAAGGAGCTGTTCGTAAAACCTTGGTAAGGTGTAAGATATATGTGTATTATTACCAGGAAGACAAGTAGTCGTATAAGTCCCCAACACCAGTCAATGTATAGCCTCTTCAAGCTTTAAATTACACACACAAAAAATGTTCACACGTGTATCAATTTAATATTGAATGGTGTGTCAAAGTCTAGTCACCTCCTAAACAGAAATCATTAATCATTGTAATGCATATAAAATATGTTTATTAATATAATAGACCGTAAAAACCATGGTCTGATATATCTTCAATTCGAATTTTGATTTGATAAACTTTTTTAATACTTTTATTGAGGAATGAGCGGGAGAAGTACAAACAATATATATTGTTATCAGTTTTCTACTATCAAATCTTATCAGTCTTTGATCTGTTATGATATAATGACATTTTTTTTCTTCGTGGGAGATGAGGCATACATACTTATATACATGATTAAACTATAGGAAGTTTAACTGTGGGCCATTTACAACGCGACAGTTGATGGCGTGTGGCAATGTGAGACAATCAACTCGCTGTCGAGATAAGATTTAGGATACGGTTTGATACTTAATTGCTACTATGGTACGCTTATACAGGTATGACTGTCCAGGTAGGACTATTATGACTATATACAAGTGTGACTATACACAGGTGAAGCTTGTACCTGCTCACTACCAATGTTAATACGTTGCGGCAATGACAGGTAAGTAATCAATACTTGTATTTAAGACCCGGCGCTGAGCGTGACGTCGACAAATAAAGCGTTATATATATGGAAGATAAGAAGGGCCATATAATGTTAGTCCCGTTCAACCAGACTCTTGTTGCCTGAGCAAGCTACGCCGAACAAAGAATAACAAGTGATCAAGCGTCTAGTTGACCGAGACTAATACAATGTAAACCAATGAAAGTTGGACACGCATTCACAACATTCCCTTCGGTTAAACGTATTGATATTTTTACAGTAAAACAAGCTAAATATACATAAAGAATAAGACGGAAAGCAGATCTAATAATGCTTTTAATATATGTTCATAACTGTATGCAGGTATCATATTTTAGACACGATTTTATTCAAATTTATTTTGTGATTTTACACGGTACAACAAAGCCGCTTCACATGACTAATTAGTGTTCTCAGATGTGCAGTGATGTCATAAAGCTAAAGAACTAACGGACTTTGGTTGGCTTAGTTTTATTAGGTTACCGTCCTATTAACAGTTTGGCCATTGATGGACATGCCTCCATGTGTGCAATGTATGCGTGCTTGTGTGTAGGTGTGCTGGAGGCAGGGTATGTTGGTGTAACTGCCTCCTCGCCATAGCGCGGATCTGGTGCCAACTTTAGAGTGCTACCTCACTGAAATACCATGCCGAAGACACCAGGCATATACTTCCGCCAGGTTATATTATACTGACCACGGGCTAACCAACTATTGCTATTTACCTAAATACTAAGTGTTAAACATGGAAAAATAAGTACCATTTCAATTAACTTTAGTATGTCCCTGTCTGGGGACAGAACCCATTTCCTCTCTCACCCGGGCGAACGTTTAACACTGAGATCAGGGGTGAGGAATCGCTAAGCGGTGCGTAGGAAACAAACAGTATCTACAGGGGTTCCCACATTAGCTGCCTCTAACAACAAACAGTGGGTATATTCTTTTTTTCGAATCCCCTACTTGGAGGAGTGACTAACGGTCTTATTTTGTTTTAAACATTTTGTTAATTGTAGGAAGTTGGAGGTCGAGGGTCCCGTACGTATAAACAGTGTGTCCCCGACTGACTGCCATAATATCTCCTCGCAGTCCAATATAAAGTAATTGAATTACACACACGGCGAATCACGTGATTAGCAACACAACTCTTTGAACCCGAGACACAAAAGAGTTCTCCCTAAGTATTTGACCTAAACCTGCTTAACATATAAATACATAGCCGTTTAAAGGACTGCTAGATAATCTATACACCAGTGCCCTGTGTATATGGCGCTTTGAAATAATTTAATGCTTTAGAATTCCCAACTTAGCAACTAAGGCAGTAAAGCGGAACTGCGTTGACGATAGGTCTCTGTAATAGAGTAAGACGTCGAGGATATTCAGTGTCAAAACAATTCGTTCTGTGGATAAATATAGCGGGGCAACTTCTGTATCTACAGCCTACATCTACCAAGCACTCGACGCGATTCTTAAATAGGAAATCAGGATAAATAATAATCAATCCAACGAACGGATTTTACCGCCAAAAAATGCCAGAATCCAGATCCGAACGCCCTAGGACAAGCCTGAAGGGGCGTCACAACAAGATATACCGGACCCCTGGTACCCCGCCCCCGGAAGTACTGATGGAGAAGGAGAAAGGGTTTGTTCTTGACTGTAACGCTGCTAGCAGTATATCTACTGACTATTCTAAGACAAACCCCAAACTGGGACCTGTCATACCGCCCTACAACTCCCAGAGAGACACTCACGTCGACCCCTATTTCCAGTTCCAGGGGGTTCAGAAGACACTCGCCCTCACCAAACAGGTAAATATTTGTTTCTCTTGACTCAAAACGGATTGTTGTTATTAAGGAAAAAAAATATGCACTTCAAATGCATCATATACTTCATCTCGTATACCTAATAACATAGTTCATCTCGTATACCTGATAACATACTTCATCTCGTATACCTGATAACATACTTCATGGATAGCAGGAGTGATTTTTAAATTAAGATTGTTATGTTATATGATATGGACATAGAGGCAAGTAATTGCCTGCGTCCATCATCTATCCTATTAAAATCCTACTAAATAACACTCGCGCTTTTCGTACATTTTTTTATTTCTCTGTCATTATGACATGTTTTGTTACTCTGTACGCTATAAGAATGAAATCTTATGAATTCGTGATACGTTATCATGTAAGTAATAAGCTACGGTTCGTTCGTGCTCTTACACCTGTATAATGTTTATGTAAAGTATTTCATGAAACAAATTAGTTTTAAATAGATTAAAATTGAAATATGCGTAATAATATCAAAGATTTCGTTAATGTATAATACAGCACCTTAACAATAGTTCATGTATAGTATGATCATTGCAAAGAAAGTTCAATAAATATCTGGGCTCCAAAGCACATCAACTTCCTGTTTTATTCGCCAGAAAAAGTACGGTATACTTTAAACAAAGAGATGAATTTGATTCAAAAATAAAAATAAATCAAATTCAACTGTGTATGGACTTCAGCTTTACAATACAATTGGCAAATGTTGTACATGTACATGAATGCATTACAAACGTCGTGAGTAAGCGGAAACCTCCTGTGTACCCGTAGTACTAGCCTTATACATAATGCATGCTATGGTATAAAGCGTGCTCCTTTTGACGGTAAATCTTACATACAATGTCAAGGTAAGGGGAGTGATCAATACCGTTCTAGCGCATCCCCTCACCTATTCTCGTTCAATCAGACTATTGTTGTCTGCACAAGCTACGCCGAACAGAATTACAGGTGATCAAGCGTCTGGTTGGAATCCCCTCGCCGGCTAATTGGTCAACACCTTGCGCACTTATGTAATGAATATGTGCAATTTAATTGGTGGGCGCCATGACTTTTGGCATTTGATGGTATTCTCTCTAAACAACTAATCAGTTACTTAAACGATTTCTTTAATTTTGGTGTAATATTGCAATAAAATGTGTGTCCTTAACGAGGTCAATTCTGACGTCACATCATCGTCTTGTTAAATAAGGCGAAATAAAGAAAATATTCGTTTTGTTCCACACCGTTTTGTGAATAACCCCTAGATATAACGTCAAGCACTGTTAGCTTTAAATTTCAAGAACAAGCAAAATTACTGCATGACATTTAGAGATATATGCTAAGGTGTCCAATAAAATGCACAGAGACCCGATAATTCGTTACAGCTGAGCTAGTTTTGGACCTAAATTGGTGTTTTTCAGTGTTATAGTAGTCGTTTTGGGGATTTAGGTTAACTTTTGGTAAAAATGCCACACCGTTGATGTTATATTATATGTATACATTCGTATACCATCATTTGAAGGAGGGGGATGGCATTAATGTTTTTACCAAGAGTTGTTCTAAATCCCTAAAACGGCTAATATTATACTGAATACATATGTTTCGGTCCAACACATAGTTCAGCTGTAACGAATTTTCATGTCCCTGTGATAAAAAAATGTAATATTTTGCACGTACGAGAGTTACCAATTAAATACAACGTTTTGCTAAATTTGACCTAACCTGAAGTATGTCAAAGTAAATACCAGTGCCTTCATGAACGTGTATGTACGAATAGGTGTGTTTAGATGTACACTCGAAATCTAATATCACAGACTTTGACTTTACTTTTTGACAAGACATTTCAGTTTAACACAATGTCAGTTTTGTTGGCCACAATTTCACGGCATTCACAGAAAATTACCTAACCTCTGTGCCTCTATTTATACATGGTAAGTACATAGTAGTGCTGTGTATTCAGAGAACCAAACAGTACACACTTAGGATGAATGATTGTCACGAAATTTCAATTTCATGCAATTTAAATATAACATGTCAGATTTCAATGTAAGTTCTATGTAAATGTTTGTCTATTTCTCTGACAAGCACCTCCACCTTAGTTTTGGTGTATGGACGGTAGGGTTAGACCTCACTTACCGCCACGTCCCTATCAGCTGATAGTAGAAAGCAATGACTACTAAGAATATATATCAATCCTGGTTACCTCGTTAACTTAACCATCATTAAATTATTATTACTTTTTATCATATTTTTCACAATTATTTAAAACCCGTTATTCCATCTGGATTTGGGATATAGATATATACATTTAACGTGAGAATGATACACAAATATAATCCTTGAAACTTTGAAAAATATCCCTTTTGTTGTTGTAAAACTGACATGGTAAGCTTGTAATGCGGATAGACTGATCCTGCTTTCAAATGTATGGTTAGTTTGACTTCTCGTTAAAGCATTGCAGTGGAATCTCGTTAGCCTGACTCAGATAATCTAGATAAAGTCGTTAAACGACCGTTATATTGGGTAATTTAATCACTTTAAATTTTTAAATATTAAAAAAAATAAAGATTTTTAATGGTTCAGTTAATATAAGTTTACCTACATGTACTGCTTGTGTCGGTAATATGTAACTAGATTGATTACTGAGTTTTACACTGTAAAGGATTAATCCGAGGTCCAACTCCAAGCTTCGGTAACTTACCACGGTAAAACAAGTCAATATTTCTTCCCAAACTTCAATTTTTATTTTCTTGTTTGTTTAGATCATGGTAGAAATTTAAGTATTTGCGCATATTATCTGCAGATAATTTATTTGAATCTGGTACATTTTGTTCTCAGTTTTGATGACTTTAAGAATATCACTTGTTCAAATTTGATCTTCAAATATTATTAAGACCATGACGCTTTCTAAACTTTGTCCTTCCTGAATAACCTCGATATATAAAACCAGCTGTAAGACAGATCTCAGTTTTTAGACTTAAGACATAGTTACATATGAATCAGTTATGTCAGACAAATTTATAAGGCAGAGTGATTTCTGAGTTTTGGTTCCAAGTTGACTATGCTTCCGACATGAAGGATATCTAATTCCAGAAGAGTCAACATACCCAGAGTACTTCAGGTAACGCAACATATTATCTAAACGGACTTATCTTTGTAGTATGGAATAAATGACACGTTATGCATGTCTGTACACAAGTATATTTAGTCTGTATGCCGTCAATTAGTACTGTACCGACGGGAATGTTAAACTCGACTCGGTGGTAGTAGTAACAATATGATAAACTCGCTTAGTAAAGAATCTGTTTAAGTGTAATTACCGGTTCAAAGACATGCGTGGTTATGTACATTTTGATGACAGTATCAGACATATACACTGTATGTAAGTAATGTCATTTCAGGTGGTATGACGTTGAATACTGATTTATGAATAAGATATAATTATGACTGCGGTATACATGTACATGCATGCACAGGAAAGGATCATAGAATAATACATGTTTTTCTTGTTGGGGGGGGGGGGGGGGGGGGGGGGGCATTAATTATATAACCCCGGGTAAATCGTCTTGTACGGAGTTCGTGTAGATTCGTTTGTCTGAAGGAGATTTGTAAATAATAGCTGGAACCAAATCTGAGGTAATCGTATACGAAATGAACGATAAAGAGGTTTAGCTATTCATAAGGTTACGTAATCTGAGCTTGTAACGTGGCCTGGCTGTGTTTGAGTATAGTAGACTATATTGACAATGTGTTCAATAAATGCTGACAATAAATCTACAAAGTTTTCGTGTGTGAGAGTAAAAAGTCTGAAAGACTTTTACATATTTACCTAAATACATTAAAAGACGGTGGTTGAAGATGCCATCATAGGTATTTTCAACACAATAAAAGACAGATAATGTATATCTTGTTCGTGCTAAACAAGAATAGGTATGAAGGGACAGATGAAGATTATTAGATCAGAATTTGTATTTCCACATTCGCCCAGCTATTATTTATACGTTTCTAAAAATTCTGCTAGTTTAAGTACAATTTCTGATTTTTCAATTGTTATTGATAAATTCATGTACACGCCATTAATATGTCATATGAACGTTAATTGGCGATGGTGTCTGGTTTGTTTATAATTCATTAATACGTCAGCACTGTTCTGATCGTTTATTGACTACAGTATCTGGTATTTTGACAAGTTTATTAGCCCCCCCCCTCTCCGTTCCCCACCTCATTGTTGTATGTGGTACGGATGTGTATTTTGTTATCCGTTCGTTTTGTGTTTGAAGTAATCGATTTCAAATTCCATTTCCAACAAAAAAAAAGCGGAACGCAATGTTGATTTCAGAAGTGATATTGACAATGACAGCCAATGACAAGTTACTCGTTCAGTCCATTTGTACTTGACGACGACAATGATTTATGTTTAAACAATGTATTTAAATGAACTTCAGTCTATGGTAACCATACACAGTGTGTGCTCAGGCCAAATGACACTAATGCTGTGTTTCAAGTTCCTCCTTTACATCCACTGGGTAGACAAATCTATTAAAACAGATTCTCCTTTTGAATTGAAAATTCTTTATGGAGCCGAATATTTTACATATACGATTACCAGAACATGACACGTTGGCCTGTTGTTGGGGATAAACTAAGGTTCGGATAGCTAGATGAACGCGAAACACATTTTTTTGTTCTATCAATAAATCGTTTATACATTGAGGACACTTTTCTACGTATCGTATGAATTATTGAATCTTTCACACAATACAACAATTGATTAGTTTAGAAGGTAAACACAAAGCGAGTTAAATTAATTAGAAACAGAACATTCGTACAGCTATGGAACTTTATTGGAGAAATATTATGGTCAGGTACAGATATCCAGCTCATGTAGATGGTGTGATGTCGTACTCAGTCGTACGCAAGTCGAGAGATGTAAATGTTTGTCACACTCGGGTCAATGGATAGGTCACACTCGGGTTAATGGATAGGCCACACTCGGGTTA